AGTCTTCAGAGCGGCAGTCGCTCTCGCGGGTCAATTGGCTCGTTACCACGCAGTTCGAGGGATCTCAACCATCGCGCGTTCAGTGAGCTCCTGTCGGAGCAACACCCAGTCCCCTTGGAGGAGTGTCTCCCATGGGACGTGATGACGAGGCGGTGCTCGCAGGGCCGCGCCACCCGACATGGGGGTGCCCCGACTGCGGGCGCAACCAGAACTGGGCTTCCCGCACCCGCTATGTCTGCGTCAAGTCGGCACCCACCTCGGTCGTGCAACGCGCCAAGGCCAACGCTCCTCGGGATGGTGGTGCTCCTCCTCGCGGGGGCTGGGCTCGTGGACCCCCATCGTCGCAGTCCAAGTTGGAGCAGCAACTCTCGGCCCTCGCCAGGAAGTTCGGCATCCTGGTGCAAACCCAGGGCGGCAACGACCCCCGTGCTGGAGGTGATCGGTCAGCCCGCTCAGTAGGCAAGCCACCCGAGGTGAGGCCAACGAGGGAGATGCAGAGCTGGTGGCCCCCCGCGCCAAGGCCGACGCCATGGGGGGGGCCATCGACGCTTTCAAGAAGTGCTCGGCCCTGGGCGGCTCCCCGATTCAATCGCACATGGGGCCTGAGCTCGCGGCCGCGCGCAAGTCGACCACCTAGCGCGAGCCCGCAGTCACGAGGCACAACGCGCTCGGCCACAAGCTGGCGATATCTCAGCAGAAGTTGGCCAAGTTGCAGGAGGAGATGCTGAAGCAAGAGAAGGAAGGCTGTCAAGGAGGCCCGTGAGTCTCTGCAACAGTCACGGGACACGATCAAGGCCACGCAAATCGAGATCTCCGCGCACCAGGTTGAGCTGCGCAGCATGGCGCAGCAAGTCGCGCCGTCGCATGGGGCAGCCCGAGACTCCCAAGTTCGAGCTGTCCGCGGGTTCCCTGGCCGCCGCGCCGCCCGAGGTGCAGCAGTTGTGCGCCTCGCCGTCCTTCGCCGAGCTCCACCCAGCCTCAGGCGCAGCAGGCTGCTGCACAGATCTGCCCCTGCTGCCCCCTCCTCCACCGATGGAGGGGGGGGGGGGCGCTCCATGAGCAAATGCCAGTCCCATTCGATGATGCTATGGAATTGGAAGAACTTGGCAATGAAAAGGTCGAGCAACTCCTTTCGGCTGCCCGCCGCGCAATCGCGCCGCTTTTAGGAGAGTTTGGGGTCAAGGCTAAATAGCCAAAGTGTGGGTGGCACAATGTTGGGCTTCGCAATGCCGTTGCTCTCTGGGGTTCCACTATCCGCCACGGGCTGTCCAGTTCCCCCTCTGAAGGGGGCGCCCGTTAGGCCCCTGGCAGAAAACGATGACAACGCGCATGTTTTACGGACCTTCAACGGCTCCGCTTGGCGCGCGCGGCGCCGCCGTCTGGCCGAGACCAATGCGATCGTGCTGTGTGCCCAGGAGGTTGGCATCAGCGAGGACTTTGTCGGACAGGCTACCGCCGCTGCTCGTTCACTGCGGTGGCACGCCCTCATCGTTCCTGCCTGGATCAATGCTGAATCTGGGAAGCTACCTTCAGGAGTGGCGGTGTTTGCTCGCTTAGCAGTGGGGCTACGTTGGCCCGACGAAGGCTGCGGATGCATGTGCGCTCGTAGAGTTACCAAAGTTTTGGTTGAGTTCCCTGGGTGGCCAGTTCTGTCGCTGTGCTCGGTCTACCCCAGGTCTGCTGACGGCCTCGGCGAGGCCATCATGGATCCGACCCGCACAATCTTGGGAGGCGACTGGAATTTGAGCCCTGAGGTCCTTGAGAGTCCTGGATTCCCACGTAAGCTTGGCATGCTCATCATGCCTCCCTCGGCCCTTATTTGTCGCGCGCCGTCGTCCAACAACGTGATCGACTATTTCGACATGGGCCCTGGCACGTCGCGCCTCATTGCTCAGGTCTCGGCGGGCGCATCCTGGGAGGTAAGACCACGTCGACCCGTTCGTTCGGAGATTCGAGGGGCCCGATTAGATTGAGGCAGCTGGTATATCGCACGCATCAGAGGCTGCCTGTTGATCCGCCTTTCGGGCCTGTGCCGTCGCCGGTGGAGTGGAACGGCGCCCTGGCGCGCGCCGCTCAGGCCATCGCTTTTTGCGCGCGCGCCCGCCACCGCTGCGTGGTCTGCTCTTTCAAATGCCCGGGGCCACTTCGTCGACTGTGCTGAAGTGGAGCTAGAAGGGGTCTTAGGCGCGGAGGCGAAGGAGCTAGGGGGGAGGGGCAGGGCGATTAAGGCGCCCTGGGCCCCAGTTTTCTACCGCCCGAAGAACCCAGATGATAAGCTTCAGATCATCGCTGGTGCGAAGTGGGTTGTGGGTTTTTCGCGCGTTCACTGAGCTGCTTAGCTCGGTCGCCGCCGATGATTGCGACCTGCGTGCCTGCCAGCGTCTCCAGGCTGCGTCGCAGCACTCCTGCCTGAAGGATTGCAAAAAGGATTGCAAAAAGGATTGCAAAAAGGATTGCAAGGGTTTTTTTGCAATCCTAAGGTTTTTTTCCTTGCAATCCTTCTTGGGTTTGTTTTGCATTTTTTTGCAATCCTTCGTTCAGGGGGAGGTTTGAACCCCAGGCCAGACGCTGCCTTGCGCGCGATGCGCGAGCGTGCGCTGTCCTGGAGCGCGGGCCGCCCCCCGGGCCAGGCGCGGCGCGATCGGTCCACCGAGTTTTTCAAAGACATCCAGGCCGAATATGACGAGGCCATCACTGATGGCGAGAAGGCCTTGGGACTCTTGGCAGGCAAAGTCGTTGTCGGGCCCCGCGAGGCCCATGCATCGGTTCACGAAGATCCAGAAGAAATGGCAGCCCACGATAGTCGAGCGCCCCCCAGGCATCTTCACTTCGGACCCTCAGAGCCTCCTGTCCTCGGAGACCACCAAATTAGGCGAGTTCTGGAATGCTCGGACTACTCCGCCTTCGGCCTGGATTCCGAATCAAGATTGTTTCCCTCGCGCCAGCCCTTCGGAGATGCGTGCTGCCTCGCGGTCTTTTAGCCGCTGCGCTTCCCAGTCGCTGGGCGGCTACCACCCGAGACACCTTGCCTGCTTGAGCGACCTGGGGCTGGAGGTCCTAGCGATGCTCTACGAGGCCGTCGGGCGTACAGGTTGATTCCCAGCGCAGTTGTTGTGGATGCTGGTGCCTCTCTTGGAGAAACCGAAAGGAGGGCTGCGCCCAATCCTTCTCCTGGGGCCCCCTGTCCGAGTCTGGGAGCGGCTGCGTCGGCGTCGATGCGATGACTTCCCGGGGCGGGCCCATCGGCCCTGCTGGTCTTTCGGTTCGGGGCAAAACTCAGAAGCGGCCATCTAGGACCAGAGCGTCCTCTCGGAGCGGGCTTCTTCGAGTGGCAAGGCCGCGGCAGGCTTTATCTTGGGCGGCGTGAAGTACTGTGAATGTCTTATTCTGGTCTGGCTCCGCGATCGGGCCATCTTCTGGAGGGTGCCCATGTGCTCGTCAAAACGCTCTATAACCTCTGGGGATCTCCCAGGATTTTGAAGCTTGGGACCAATCACTCCCCTCGGGTCCTCTTTGCTGAGTCTGGGCTCCCAGCTGGTGATCTATCCACATACGTTTTTGTAAAGGTTTATGCTATGTTCGAGTTTGATATGTGGCCCCAGAGGTATCCTGAGGTCTCCCTGGGGTCTTACGTCGACGAAGACACTGTAGCGGCCCACGGCGACGAGGATGCGATTGTAGCCAACTTGGTTCGTGCCGGGGTATATCTCGAGGATATCTTCGACCGCAGGCTGGATGTTCGCCTGGCCGAGGACGAGGCCGTCACTTTCGCCTCCTCCCAGCGCGTTGCCTGCCGCCTGTGCCGTCGGCTGCGCGCAGCGTGCCCTTCGGCTGCGACCGGCGCGGCCGTCTCGCCGGGCAAGGACCTGGCCCCAGGCCAACGGCGAAACTGCAAAGGAGGGATGAGGAAGCGGCAGGAGCGTTTCAGGATGATGGAGAAAAAGGCGTCGTTTGATTTCTCACTACCGTCGAACGCCTCCTCCGGACAAGTCTAGACTGCACAAGATTTACATTGCTGGAGTGCGTCTGGTTATGGTGCCATGGTCTTAGGCATGTCGGACGCCGAGCTTCGGGCTTTGCAGCGCGTCCTTCTCTCTGTGAGAAATCCAGCGCATCGAGGGGCCTCTTTGACGGCCAAGCTGGTTCTACATGGCGACCCTGCCTGGAAACAGTCCGTGGCACCGGCCCATCAGTGGGCGACGAGCCTGTGGCGATCGATCACCAAACCTGACGCCCCCCCTTCTCGCTCCGACAGCATATCCAATTTTGGAAGGATATTGTTCAGGGCCAGGAGCTTGACCTGGAGTCCACGGGCTGGAGAAATCACGGGGAACGATTCACAGGATGCTATTATGCCTACACAGGTTTGGGCGGAAGGCGGTGGGGTTCTCAGTTTGGCACCATGAGCGAGGCTATGTCATCGACTTGCTATGCACTTCCCCCGCGCTGCTCTATAAGCTGCTCGAGGAGGGCGCCCAGCGGATGCATGAACGTAGGATGGCCTTGGCCACGCCTGAGTTTGCCTCTTCCCGTGTAGCACCTGACCCCTTGAGGCGCCTGCTGGGCTCAAACAAGCTTGACGGTCGGCAGAAGTACTGGCTCTCCGCGTGTTTCTCCGGGGCCTGCTGGACTGCGGATCGGTTGAAATCCTCGGGGTACTGTTCTGATGGGGCCTGTCCGCTGCGTGGGGAGCCCGATGCCATAGTCCACAGGCAGTTTATATGTTCGCACCCGACGGTCAAAGCAGCACGCCGCGAGCATCTCTCAGAAGAGGACGCAAGGGCCTGCCCACTGCACTCCGTCGGTTGCAAGGTGCTGAGAGCGAGCGAGGCCACATCCTGCGCACTACCTTTGCTCAGGGCGACGAGTGCCCCCGACTGTCCTCTGTTTTCGATGCGGCGCTTTCACCAGCAAGCGTTGCTACCTCCTCGGTGAGATGTGCGGACCGCCTGGCCCTATTGGGCGAGGCGCCCTCTCCCGCATACGCCGAGGTCTTCCGCCCCACTACAGGTCTCGGGGCACTCCTGCTGCAGGTTCTGGCACCACAAGTCGTGCCTCGGCCAAGTATGTCTTGCTCAAGGCAGCGGACGCTCTCCTCGTCCTGCTCCCGCTCGGGCCTGATTTCAACACCTGGGATGTCGGCCCTGGCTGAGAGGACTCGGCAACGTGAGGAGGCATCTCGTGCAGCAGGATCGGCCGGAGGCCGTCGGTGGTGATGTTCTGCCCAGGGGCCCTCTTGGGAAAAATCCTCTTCCTCCTCCTCCTCCTCCCCCTCCTCCTCCTCCTCCTCCTCCCCCTCCTCCTCCTCCTCCTCCTCCTCCTCCTCCTCCTGACGACGGCCGCGGCGGCGGCGGTGGCAACCGCGACGGCGACGGCGATGACAGGCGACGGACGACGGGAGGCGGACAACGGGCGACGGACGACGGCGACGACCGCGATGGACGACGACGACGACGACGACGACGACGACGACGACGACGACGACGACGACGACGACGACGACGACGACGACGACAGCGGCGGCGGCGGCGGCGACGACGACGACGACGACGACGACGACGACGACGACAGCGGCGGCGATGCCCGCTCCTGGCGGCCAGCCCCGCGGCTCGGGCGCCTCCTCTGGACCGTCCGCGCGGAGCGCGCGAAGGCCGCCCGCCCGCGCATCTCGCAGGGGGCCCTCGGCCCGCGCCTCCGCAGCAGCCCCGCGACCGAGCCGCGGCGCGCGCGGAACCCGCGCGTGTCGAAGCCCTCCTGGGGCGTCTGCAGGGCAGGGCGCGTGCAGGGCCACGAAGGGGGGAGGAGGAGGAGGAGGAGGGAGGAGGAGGAGGAGGAGGAGGAGGAGGAGGAGGAGGAGGAGGAGGAGGAGGAGGAGGAGGAGGCGCGTCTCGGAGCCGGAGGCCCCCCACAAGCGCACCGCGCAGATCTTGGCCCGACCTCGGGCCACCATCCTGCGGGACTGCTCTGCCGTCGCAGGCCGCGCGGCCCACTCTGCGCAGGCGGTCCACCGCGGTGTGACCCGCTGCCGCTTGAAGCGGGGCACGCCCGAAGGGCCACGAGGAGGGGGGAGGAGGAGGAGGAGGAGGAGGAGGAGGAGGAGGAGGAGGAGGAGGAGGAGGAGGAGAGGAGGAGGAGGAGGAGGAGGAGGGGAGGAGGAGGAGGAGGAGGAGGAGGAGGAGGAGGAGGAGGAGGCCCCCCAGATGGGGTCACTGGCGACGTCGGCGATGCACCGGCGCCGTCGGCACAGGCAGCATCGGGGCCCACATCGGCGATGCATCGGCGACGTGTCGGCGGCGCGGCGCCGTCCTCCGACCACATCTGCTCGGGCCCCCTCTGGGAGGCCTGGGGCCTCTGCTCCAACTCCCCGAGCAATGCTTGCACTGATCGGCGACACCAAAAGGTGTGGTTTGCAAAGGGTGCCTCCTCCTCCTCCTCCTCCTCCTCCTCGTCCTAATCTCCCTGCGTTCCTCTTCCCCCCGCTTCGCCTGCTCCCCTTCATCCTCCGCTTCTCTCCTCCTCCTCGTTCCAATCTCCCTGCGTTCCTCTTCCCCCCGCTTCTCCTGCTCCCCTTCATCCTCTTCTTCCTCCTGGTCCTTCTGGTCCTCCTGTACGAGACCTATGTTGCTTCACAGCAGCAACTCGGCCCCTGACTTTCGTCCTGGGCTCGGTTTAGTGAAGCGATGAATTTCGGGGTCCTTGCGTGGGAAAAAACATCACTTCACTAATCTGGGGCCCCTGGGGCCTCAGTGGGCCCTGGGGCCCAAAAGAAGTGATGGTTTTCGGGCCTCGGATCCTGGTCCTCCTCCCCTCATCCTCCAGAAATGCCCAGACGGCGGGCGGGGACGCGGTGGCGACGGCGCGGAGCTGCCGGACCGCCAGAAGGGCCCAACTCCTTCCTCCAGAAGTGAGAATCCCAAATGCAATCACGGAATGGGGACCAAAAACAGCCAGCGTCGAGGCAAAAGCGCCCAGCGCCGTTTCTGGCGATGAACAACAACTCTGATCTAGAGATGAATATTCGACGACGACGATGATGAGGACGACGGCGGCGCAACGATCCTAACGGGCGGGTGGGGCGGACGGACCTTGACGGGCGGGTCGAGCAATCAGGCGGACGGACCCCAACGGGCGAATGGTGTCGGGCGGGACACTGAAGTAGTGCGCTCATCATCCAGCAGGACATGAGGGCGACGACGACGGCGAGGGCGGCGACGACGAGGACGACGACGGCGACGAGGACGACGACAAAGGACGACGACCAAGAGGGTGACAAAGACGTCGACGACGATGAAGGCGACGACAACGACCCCGACCATAACGGGCGGGTCGGTCGGGCGGACCCAAACGGGCAGGTCGGGCGGGCGAACCCTAACAGGCGGGCCGGGCGGGCGGACCCTCACGGGCGGGCGGGACATTCAAGTACTCACATATCGATAATGCTGTGCGCATCGAATGGTTGAGGTTGGGCCCGTATCACCGGTTTCCTGCAGGAAAGCACCATGCGAGCCTCAGAATGCAAGCGCCAGCAAGATGCCTGTGAGTACTGGGAGATCTTCGAGCATGCCAGATGTATATTGGAGCGACAGAGGACTACCCCACATTCTGCACGCGTCGCGTATGAGCACGACGCCCCGCATGGAACGGTGCAAGTGAGCACCGCCATGGTTGCGAGCACCGCGCAGCAAATGAGCACTACGGTATCCATACATGTCCCCTTCCAGCCTCGTCCACCGCCTTCGATCCTTCTGAAGACCCTCTGGGGCTGTTTTCAGAGCCTCTCGGGGCCTCCTGGGCAATGTTTGGAGTTGCTCGGGCCCCCTCGGACCACTCTCACCCCCTCTGCCATTTACATCGTCCTCCTCTGCCTCCACCAAGCCTCCCATCCTCTGCCAGTGGCCGTCACACCTCACCAGCCTGTCACCAGAGCAACCACGGGCCAAACGCGCGGGGCGGCGCCTGCTCCCCCTGGCGAGCGCTCAGTGCCGTACAGAGCAGAAGACGCGCGCGTCGACGCCCCCGCCTCTGGCGACCTGGAGGCCCTCCGTGATTCCTGCTTTGCGGGGTCACTACTTGGCGTCTCACCGCTGGCAGCGCCCATGTGGAACTGCCGATCCATCCTATGACCTTCTGTCGCTCTGGAGGGGCTGGCCGGTGGACTGGCGTAAGCCCTTGGGACATCACATGCAAGCCCAGAGCCGTAGGGTTATGTTGTCCCCATCCTACTTAAGGACCACATCCAAGAAATGATTTCGAGCACCCAGAAAAGTGTCAAAAGAGTGTCGAAACAGTGTCGGGCCAGTGTCTCCCAGCGCCCGACACGTGAAAACCTTCGAGTTTCGGCACTTGTTTGGGGCCGCTCGAAATTCTTCGTGGTGATCAACGCTAAAGTAGGTTGGATCGTCATAACCGTAGGGGAACATACAATGGCATGAACATCAACAGACTCGGAGGTCCGCGCAGATTTCTCAGATCGGTGCTGGACCTGGCTCCCTGGCGCGTGGAGCGCGCCAGGAGCGGCGCCGGAGGCGCCGCCAGGGGGCCCCAGCGCCGATCCGAGGAATCCGCGTGGACCTCAGAGTTGTATGTTTATGTCACTGCTCGTCCCGTGCTTTTTCTGTGGCCAGGGCAACGGAATCTATGCACATAATTACACTGCTTCCTGGCCAGGCCCGTCCTGACCCCAGCAGCGGTGTATACGCCACGCCCTCCTGGCTTGGCCAGGGAGGAGGAGGAGGAGGAGGAGGAGGAGGAGGAGGAGGAGGAGGAGGAGGAGGAGGAGAAGGAGCAGGAGCAGGAGCAGGAGCAGGAGCAGGAGGAAGAGGAGGAGGAGGAGGAGGAGGAGGAATGGAATGGAATGGAATGGAATGGGGCCAATGACAAAGTCATAGAATAAAAATTAGAGTTTCGACAGAGTCTTGGGCCGCAGGCCCCTGTGAAATCTGTCTAAAAACTCTCGCCGCGTATTGGAAATCTTCCTGGGATCACAGGGTTTGGCAAGCTCACGAAGAACGAGCTGACCGAAAAACCCGCATTCCCCACAGATCCACACTCCAGACTGCTGAGAGAAAATCATGCAATGAGACTCGTGCACCAGACCCCCCCCCCACATGTACCCTCGACCCCTGCGGTGGTCTCCAGGTACCATCCCCAGTCGCTTCGAGCTCGAAACACGGACTGGCCATCCAAGCGGTCCTGGCGGCTGCCGTGGAAGAGCCTCGGCACCTGATGCACCGAGCGCCTGTCTCGTCGAGGGCATGTGCCGACGAAAACATGGCCGCAACGGCTGGGGCGGGAGGGGCAGGGGGGGGACGGCAGCGGCAGCAGCAGGAGGGCGCTCAGACTGATTTTCAATCCTACGGGCTCTGACAGACGCTTCCATCGCGGCCAACGTGGATCTCAACAGTCGCCTTCGCACCACTCTCGCCATCTGCTCTGAAAACAGCAAACGTGCACGATCATGTTCAGACACTCTCGCAACCTGCGCAGCAACATTAGCAATCTCATCGGCGGCCTCGTTACCTGCAATCATCCAGTCGGGAAAAAGCCGAAACTCCTGGTCGGACGGAGCGACATGAGAGGCGACTTTGAGAACCACAACTGAACCAATGCGAGCCTTCATCAGCAGGCCGATCTGCCGCCACGTGGCGGCCATGACTCCACTTGGCTGTTCGTACAGCCTGGAAGCCCGAGGAGGAGGAGGAGGAGGAGGAGGAGGAGGAGGGGAGGCGGGTGGGGAGGAGGATCCAGGATGGGCCTGGCCAGGGAGCGGTGCACGGGTGCAGCTGTCGTCGACCGACCCCAGGAGGCACCGGCCCCTGCGCCAAGGGGCAGCCTTTTCTCGCCCAGCCCACCTGCTCGATGGCCCCGAGGGCCCGACGGCGCCTCCCCCTCCTCCCTCCTCCCTCCTCCTCCTCTCCTCCTCCTCCTCCTCCTCCTCCTCCTCCTCCCTCCTCCTCCCCCTCCTCCTCCTCCTCCTCCTACTCCTCCTCCTCCTCCTCCTCCTCCTCCTCCTCCTCCTCCTCCTCCTCCTCCTCCTCCTCCTCCTCCTCCTCCTCCTCCTCCTCCTCCTCCTCCTCCCTCCTCCTCCTCCTCCTCCTCCTCCTCCTCCTCCTCCTCCTCCTCCTCCTCCTCCTCCTCCTCCTCCTCCTCCTCCTCCTCCTCCTCCTCCTCCCCCCCCCCTCCTCCTCCTCCTCCTCCTCCTCCTCCTCCTCCTCCTCCTCCTCCTCCTCCTCCTCCTCCTCCTCCTCCTCCTCCTCCTCCTCCTCCTCCTCCTCCTCCTCCTTCCTCCCCCTCGCCTCCTCCTCCTCCTCCTCCGCCTCCTCCTCCTCCTCGCTCCTCCTCCTCCTCCTCCTCTCCTCCTCCTCCCCTCACCCCTCCCCTCCCCTCCTCCTCCTCCTCCTCCTCCTCCTCCTCCTCCTCCTCCTCCTCCTCCTCCTCCTCCTCCTCCTCCTCCTCCTCCCCCTCCTCCTCCTGGAACGCCGCCGAAGGACTGCACAGTCAGACCCCTGGGGAACTCGAGGCTCGGGGGTCGAGGCTCGGGGCTCCGAGGCTTCTGCGGGAGCTCTCGTTGGCTCGGAGGCCCTCGGGAGCCCTCGGGAGCTCGCGGCGGCTCGAGGTGCGAGGGTTCGAGCTTCGAGGGTGCGAGACTGGGTTTTTTTTTGGAGGCGCGAGGGCTCGAGATTCAGGGGTTCGAGACCCGAGGGCTCGAGGTTCAGAAGCGTCGAGACTCGACATTGTCGGGGGTTTGCCTCCGG